ACATACATACATACATACATACATACATACCTACATACATACATGTACAGTTGTACACACACGCACACACACACGCACACACACACACACACACACACACACACACACACACACACACACACACACACACACATACATACATACATACATACATGTACAGTTGTACACACGCGCGCACACACCGTGCACGTTGCGGTAGCAGGTGATTCACATGCTGTGATTGGACTGCGCATGCGGATTTGGCGATCTTAAAATTTGGTGCGGGTTTGCGATGAGAGCACGTCAATCACAAGGTGATTCACGTACTCTGCTTGGACTGCATGCGCATGCGGATTTTGCGATCTTAAAAGTTGGTGCGGGTTTCCGCCGATGAATGCCGAAGTTTCTTCGGGCACATAACTTTTTAGGAAATTGCCTGAAAAAGTCACTTTAACGTCGAAAAATCGCGTTCTAACGTAGCGGAATCTAGTCGCGACGCCCAGAAGGGGCCCCCCGCGTGTGCTCGCGCGAATCGAGCTACACGGTTTCGGAGGAGATACGTAAAACGACACTTCGGCAGGCCTACTCTTACTACCTCCATTTACTCGTACCCAAATCCATCTTGGTTTTGCCAATGGCTAATATTGCTATGTAATTATTCTGGTATAAATCTCCCTATATTCCTCAAATGCAGTTTACCCTTGTTGCAACAGTACATCATGGTACAGACAACACAGTCATGGTAACATTAAAACACCACACCAATCATCATCCTCACCTCCAGTCCAATTTCTTCTATCTGACGGATAGTTCCAGTGAGTTTTCATTTAAATGCCACATTTCGACGTGCTTCTCACCAATGGTTGCCATAATTACTGCGATACTGCGTAGCGTATAGCCTTCTGGAATAAGTTTTCCCATAATCATAATGTGCTCGCGTACCGATATCTATTTGTAAACGTGCATGCGTAGGTATATGTTTGTGTGTGTGTGTGTGTGTGTGTGCTCGCGCACATATAGATATCTGTTTGTGCACGTAACTGCATATGCTCGCGTGCGTATAGGTATCTGTTTGTGCACGTAGGTGCGTAGGTATATGTTTGTGTGCATGCTCGCGTGCGTATAGGTATCTGTTTGTGCGCGTAGGTGCGTAGGTATATGTTTGTGTGTGCGTGCTCGCGCGCGTAAAGGTATCTGTTTGTGCGCGTAGGACGCCGTAGGTACATGTTTGTGTGTGCGTGTTCCCGCGCGTACAGGTATCTGTTTGTGTGTGTGTGTGCTCGCGCACATATAGATATTTGTTTGTATGCGTGTTCCTGGTGTACAGCAGTACAGGTATCTGTTTGTGCACGTGAGTGCTTGCACGCGTATATAGATATACTATATAGTCTCCAGTCATGCTCCATCTATATGGACTCCAGTCAGCGGGCAGGGTTTCGGCATTAACAGCAAAGCCATGGTTCTGCGTGGTGATGCAGCAGCGCTCGGTGCCATGGTGCGTGCACGGTTGGTTGTGGCTGCGATTGCCGTAGCTAACAGGGAAAAACACCACAGTCATGCATACAGACAGATAAATATGTGTTAATACAATGAGACAATCACTAATTATTATATTAATATATCAATTTCATTTAGTATTTCATTTTATATTAATTTCAAATAATTAAAAATTATTGCGAATCAATATATTAAATAAAATATAAAATATTATTACATTAAATATCATTAAAGAGAACAAAAACATGGAAAAAGAATCGGCCATGTAGTACTCAGACAGCGCGGTTTCCAGCCATTGACCCAGTAGCACCACTTGTGCGGGTGGCCAGTGACCGTGGGCCTTCATAGTGACCCGTCAATACCCCTGCGCGAATCATCACTGTATCACACTCTTTTCTTTCTGTCATTTTAATAATATTCCTCTTGCTTATAAAAACGTAGTACAATCGGCTGACACTTGACCCTCTTTGTCTTACCTCATCTTAAATGATTTTGCACCAGCTGCTAATGAAAGCAACTGGTGACCGAGACAGATACCGAATGCCGGTTTGCAATTCTCTTCTTCTATCAACTTCCGTAGATTGGTAATGGTGGTAACACACTGGGTCGGATCTCCAGGGCCATTGCTTATAAAAAAGGCCATCATATTCTGGAAAAAATTTTGTTTGAAAATGAATACCTGGGTGTTATACTAAGCGTACATAAAGACACATGCCCATGCATTCACATAAACGTGTGTGAACACACGGATACATGCACACACCTACAGGTAGACACAGACATATACACTGACACACAGGCACATGCACACGCAGACATGTACATACAGCTAGTGTTTCCCCTGGCCAAAAAGGTCTGTGAGGTGGTACTTTTTTTGGTGTGTTTTTGCATTTCGAGGACCTAGCAAAGCGAGGGGGCCCAGCTAGGGGGGGTCCGAGGGTATGCCCCGCTAAATTTAAAAAAAAATTGTGCATACTAAGCATTAATTGATGCATTCTAAGAACTGTTCTATGGAAGAACAGTGATTTTCGTCAGCGAGGCGGTGTTTTGGACAAATTTCTGTGTGGCGGCTGAGAATTTAAGCGAGGCGGCCCGCCTCGCTCGTGTCAATGCAGGAGAAACACTGTATATTATAATAACACACAAAACATTGACGTGCTTCCATGCACCCACAAACTCACATAAACATCTGTGCACATATGCATGCACTAACGCAAACATAAGCACACGTATGGACACACGTACACAACTAGTCTAAGTGAACGCTGACACGGCGCAGGGACACATTCTCACCGTTGCTTCTCAGTGGATGATCCCAAGGCACAACTGTCACCTTCGCCCCGCGTGTGACCAGGCAGCGTATCTGATTAAACCCGAGTCCGCAGTCAACGCAGACAATACTGGGAGTTCCTTGTTGGTTGTAGACCACTGGTTCCTGATAGTGGGTGGCATTGCATGTAGATTAATAAAAAATTTAATATAAAAGTAGCCCACTAAGAATAACATAATGAACATATATATATATATACTGTTTCATATGATGCTGACATAATACCTTGATCGAGACTCCTTTGACTAGATTTATAACGTTAGGGTCGTGAAATGGAAAAGATTCAGGCATGTTGCCTTCTGCCACAATCTTTCCCAGCATGGTACCATGCTCACGTATCTTCTTATAGTTAGAGCCCTTGTGTCGATTCCTGAAAGTTGACGTGCATGTATAACAATATGTACAATTTCGTTTAGATCAGTTGGAAAAATAATCGGCCATGCAGTACTCAGACAGCGCGTTTCCAGCCACTGACCCAATAGCACCACTTGTGCAGGTGGCCAGTGGCCGTGGGCCTTCATAGTGACCCGTCAATACCCCTGCGAATATCATCACTGTACTATTGATGCATGCACAAAATAGACAAGGGGATAATGTAATAAGAACGGTGAACCTCAATCTGAATCTGTATTTTTGTGGTCGAAAATAATTTACTCCCATTTAATTAAAAGCACGGATAGCTTAATTGACAGTACACAAACTAAACTTGCATTTACAGCATAGTTTACCAGCACCATTTATAGGCAATTCACTCGTTAAGTATTTGCTCAAATCTATCCAAGACATTGAAGACAAAGTGGATAGGCACAGCTCTTTGTCTGCTAGCCAATTGCTCCAAGCAAATTAAAAAAAATAAAAAAACAATTCTCAGTTGGCGTGGACAGACATGTGAACGATTCCTGGAAAGCCTTCCCGACATGTCATTAATTTCGAGCGCCTGCACCAAAGAATGCTCGCACGCTTTAGTTCTCGAAACTCACCGTAGATGGCCGCCGCCCAGTGCGAGTATTGCGCCGACAACGAGTCCGGATGCCCAGATGCGCCACGACTCAAACCAGCGGTTCAATCCGTACTCGTCGTTCTCGTGCGGCGGCACGCCGTAGTTGCCGATCAGAGGGTAGGTGAGGATGAGTATCTGGGAGCAGTAGGATGGGTCTGTGAGGGACTCCGTGTAGCCGACCATCCCAGTCTGGAAGACTGCGGACAATGGCAACGTTAGGTGTGACTGTACGCTGCTGTTGGGAAAACTGCAGACGAGAATGGAACATTACGCGCAAACATATGGGTGTTGGGAAAACTGCAGATGGTAACACCACATTACGTGCAACCGTATGCATTAGTGTCAGGAAAACTGTAAATGAGAACAGCGTATTACATGCAACCATGTATAAATGTTTGGAAAACCAAGGACGAGAACAGCATCAAGTGTATCTATGTATGACTTGCAAGAAAACTACAGGAATGAAAAAAATATATAGTCTGTGCCCAACCATACTGGTGCCAAAACCTACAGCGAAAAACAGCATTATGTGTATGCAATCATCAAAGTCTAGAAAACTACTGGAAAAGAACAGCATGAGCTATTCATCATAGTCTGAGAAACTAGGATGGTATTGCATCATATGTAGTAAGATTTTGATATAGGAACTCATCATAGGAAAACTTCACACGTGAAAGCTTTCCGAGTGGAAAGACATTTGAATTTTAGGTTAGATTCTAGCACTTATAATAATTGATCAACTTCACCATTGACTTACCAACTTCACCAGCTATGCTTTTTTCAGCCCCAAACAATGTTCCCTCAAAGCAGGAACCATCCTGAAGAACAAGCTTGCCCTTCATCTCAAAAGTATACTTCTGCGTTTTGTCACAATGCTCTGAAAACGCACATCTACTATATAATAGTGGAAGGAAACTCTAACTCTAACTCTAACTCTAACTCTAACTCTAACGACAGTTACCCCCACACCCTTGACCGTAACAATAACCTTAACATAACTGTAATATAATCTTATGACCAGCAGTCGTGGGTCCTTTTCACTGGGTTGTGTATAGAAAAAGGTCAGTTATTAAGGTGGGCAAATAAGGAGCAAGAGTTTAATCTGATACGTAACAGTAATTCAGTATGTTCATGGAAATAATTGGTGAAACGTGTAAATAGCATTTATGTTAAACTTCCCAGTATAAAATGGTGGAAACAATTGGCAAAAGATACGGGAACAACTACGTTAACATTCTTGTACAAATATAAAAAATAGAATCGTTAGAATATATATAGGCATATATATCTAATGCACCCAGGTGCTAGCATCTTTGTTGTCGCCGCCGTCGCTGTCAGCGGATTTGAAACTATACTGTAAGCGGAAGCTATTGTATAAACAGCGGAGCGTTTGTGGTGATATTGCGCAGACAGACGCGAACTTACATAAGTACAAATGCACACACGCACTCACTCACACACACACACGCGCGCGCGCACACGCACGCACGCACACACACATACACGCACGCGCGCGCGCACGCACGCACGCACGCACGCACGCACGCACGCACACACACACACACACACACACACACACACACACACACACACACACTAAACTGGGACTCAGACGCGGCAGATAAACGTGTACTATGTAGTGTTCATTGCATTGTGATTAATTTCATTGCAGTAATCCTCTACTGTAGTGTATACCTCTGGTCGAATCGTCACTGCAACGCTTAGCACTGGTAGCTACGCATGTATCTAGTATGGTCGTGCATGCGTGCGCATATCCGTGTGTGTGTGCGCATATGCTGCATAATACAGAAGGGAGAATGAATTAAAATCATGTTTGTTTTTTATGTTATTTGTTTGATATAATATTGATTAATGTGTTCGTAATATTATATAATTATATCTGTTTATGTATATATAGGAGATGAATAATTCAAAGGACAGACTACATTAAAATTAAATGTTTATGTTATCAATTTGATGTATTATTTAGTAATGATATTCACGATTTTATATGGTTACATCTATGTACGTATAGTATTATATATTAGTGCATCACATGATAAATCGTTGAAATTCTATTGGATAACGTCGCAGGTACCGGTACTATGAAACAATAGTGCCCGCCTGAGCGGGCACTATTGCTTGCGCGACGCATTGTTATTATAACGCATTGTGTTTTAATACAAATTGAAATTGTTCGTTTAAGAAACTTTGTCTTATTCACTTCATATTAGCCGGTAGATTGCAAAGTCATGTGATGCACTAAAAACATTAATGCCTGTTGTTGGGGGCACTATGCTGTCATAGTGCCCCTAACAACAGGCATTAATATATAATTAGTGAATCTCGTGATAAATCGTTGAAATTCTATTGGATAACGTCGCAAGTACTATGAAACAATAGTGCCCGCCTGAGCGGTTTTTTATTCCCGAATTACTACGTTGTATAAATTCTGTTGTAGTCGATAACAAAGCTTTCATGGCTCACTGCATAGTACGTATCGACATGAATATATATATATATATATATAAGAATATACTTCGTGTATAAGTTCTTGACAACGAGGTTCCAAATAACCAGATGCGTGCTCTATATTAAAATCATCATATAACTACATTCAAATCTGGCATGTGCATGGATTTCTAGAGCATCAGGTATCCATATCTGTTTATAAAACATTCAATGTAACTTAACCGTCAGCGATGTTATATGAAACGCCCTGTGTCCATTTTATTGCGTCGCATGCCGATCTTCGGGTCAGGATATTTTTCATCTGTTTGATAACGCGCACACGTCAGTATGGATGCTCATTCCCAAGCAGGCTATCGCCTACAGTTACATACAGGGACAGCTAGCTTGCTTTATTTATTTATAAATACATCGTACTCTAACCATCGAAGACAAAACGGAACGCTAACGAATTTATATAAAATTTAAACGAAGTTGGTTTAATATTTTGACACGTAACATATAGACTTACTCTCTAGGTTATTGCTGGCATTAGCTGACATGTAGAAACAGTGAAACTAAAACACCGGTCACCAAAAAACACTAACAACAATATATATATATATATATATATATCAGAAGTATATATATATATACCCTATTATGTGCGTAGGTAGTTCAATAATGATATCAGTAGAGATCAGACAGTTTGCTAGTGTTGGAAATACCTAAGAGTCGGAACGAGATAACCACGTCACATCCATCTTGAATATTGTTGCTGTTCCGGTCAAGCTAGGCTAGTTTATACGGAGACAATATAGAACACTAATAGACATAGAAACATAACATCTGTTCTAGGGTCTCTGGTTTAAACGTGTTTTACACGCGCATACTTCAAATTGTCGACCTTGTGGCACTTCATTATAATCCGTAATTGAAGCGTGATTCGTGGATGATATACACGTACGTGGTTGATGGTTATCACGTGACAGGTGTAGTTTGTGACCAAACCGCAAGGATACTGCTAGAGCTGGACACCACGCTTAGCTATAGCAGTATATCCACGGGAATGCTGTCACAGGCATGTATAGTTACAGTGCCAACTCCACTAGTATAGCTAGCCGTGCGAATGCCGCCTCAATTATATGGCTAGACTGTTAGGCCTACTAGCATATATTATGGGATGCTGTAACTGGCAGCATTTTTGTTAGACTGGCAGAGCTTACCAACACTTGATTACTTTGCAGGAGACACGTTACTGCAGTGCTACACGTACGAGTGGAAGGTGGGGTGGTAGGGATCAGACCAAGGCTGCGATGACAGGTTCGTGCTGTTCGACCAGGGCGCGTTCATCCCCAAAAACTGTCGGCATGCAGGAAGGATAAATATATACTAGACGGTGACAAGCATAATAGCATGCACACTGCGTATAGGCTCTGCGTAGATGTGTGTATGCGATATATATACACGCGTGTAGCTTGCGTGAATCACGCATCTGTTGCGCATAAAGCTTGCGTTAATCACGCATCAGTCGCGTGCACAGGATTCGTGAACATCTTCTTGTCGCGTTCTGCTGTCGTCGCTAGCGTTAACGCTCCTTGTCGCGTTCTGCTGTCGTCGCTAGCATTAACGCTCCTTGTCGCGTTCTGCTGTCGTCGCTAGCATTAACGCTCCTTGTCGCGTTCTGATGTCGTCGCTAGCGTTAACGCTCCTTGTCGCGTTCTGCTGTCGTCGCTAGCATTAACGCTCCTTGTCGCGTTCTGATGTCGTCGCTAGCGTTAACGCTCCTTGTCGCGTTCTGCTGTCGTGTGTCTAATGTCAAAGCTATTGCGACAGCCATTCCACGTTTGTATATCTGATGTAATCTTGGCTCAGCTCCCCACTTTCATTGTATACTGCTCTCCCGTATATATAGGAGGCTAGGATCCGTTGTCATGAAGACCATCAAGTCGTTATGACGTCACAAGTTTAAAATGTAATAACATTTGCAGTGAAGTGTCGCGCAAAACCTGTGACATTGTTGATCTATGATAATTATAGTCATATCTAATTATGATGCTTCTGACAACTGGTCCCTGGTTCCTTTACCGGAGAGCAGGGCAGCGGGAGGCGGCTGAAATCCAGTACTATAGCCGGAGATGCTCCTAGCGTCGTAGACACTCGATATAACGGAGTTTCTACAAGTAGTTACAGTTCTAGTACCCCCACCCCCGGCAGCGCGGTAGTTTTGCTAACGCGTCACTTGGGGATGCGGTCAGGGCGGTACGTGTCCTCGTGTCTTCATGAGTAATGGCTGCAGAAGACCACGTCTCCCGACGCAATCCCACTACGATCAGCATTAATTTTGTTTAACTATGTTCTCACCGCGTGCACGCCCCAGCGTACAGGAGCCCGCGAATCGGCAACGACCTACGATACTTGAAGGGCGTTGTCTGCAGGCTTGTTGCGTACAGACACAGCTTGGTGCGGGATAACTTATCGACTTGGACCACCGAGTTAGAAGCAGAATTAATAGATTTATGGAGTGAGCGGCCTCGTCTTTTTGACATCAAAGCTCCCGAATACAGCAACAGAGTACTCAAGGCTCATGGTAAAATTCTCACAAAAATTGCCTGTACGAGGTGTGCTGCGTGCTTTAGTAACAGAAATGTTGATAAAATTTATATATTTCCTTTAATTGATAACTGTATATGAATGGGTTAAAGCTACAACATCTGGCAACAAAAATTGCCGTCAACAGCACACGTCACCACTCAGTGGCCTAACCTGGCGCGCGCTAGTTCAATACCATATCAAATTCGTAGTCTGTACGGGGTATGTATGATAGTAGCGTTTGTAATACGGTGAACCGTGATGGCTACGTCACCGCCGCGTTAGCGCTAGCGACGACAGCAGTGAGAGCCGCTGTTTGCTACGTACCTGCGTGAGATGTGGTCACAACTATGGCGGCGGAGAGTAGGTAAAGCAGCGTGCGGTACATCGCAGTTGTCGTCTCGTCTGCGTCGCTTTCCGGCTCCTCTGCCGCCTGCCGTCGACTATGATCCCTCCGGCAGCACTCTTATTACAACACCTGCCGACAGCTCTCACGTCGATCTATGCGTCGCCACGCGCCGTGAATGGTCGCCGCACGCGGCGCATGATCGACTCACGCGCAAGCCCGATAGATGTGGGAAAGCGCTGCGGCTAGACAGGTGGGGCAGGAGATCTGAAGGTCTTCGCTATCAGATTTGTTTATTGTACGTGTGTTGCTAAAGGAGCCGCCGTGTCGACGGAGCTGGCGTGCTGCCGCGGCGAATCGGTGTCGTTATTGATGATGATGATGCTGTTGTCATCGATGCTGGCTTTGCTGCTGCTATTGCTGGTGTCATCGTAGTCGGTTTCATCATCGTCATCATTATAACAATTACTATCATTAAATTATATGATGATTATTTTATTAATATTTACACTTTTACATTTATAATATTACCATTATTTGTAGTGATTTCTGTAGTTGTAGTTGTAGTAGTAGTAGTAGTAGTAGTAGTAGTAGTAGTAGTAGTTGTAGCAGTAGTTGTTATTGTTGTTGTTGTTGTTGTTGTTGTTGTTGTTGTTGACAGCATTTCATCATCGTGCCACCGGTCACCGGTGCTGCAGCAGAGACCATCATCACGCGCCTGTTACGTACAAATGCGACGCCAGCAGCACGACGCTGCACACGATGGCGCCACTTCTAAACCACGTGACGCGTCTGCTGTCATTGCACAGCTGCCAGTCACAGTAACGCACTATCGTCATCGTTCCCGTCGCCGTCTCTCCGAACTGCTCCTCACCGTCGCTGCCGACCTGCTTGCGAGCACACGACCGCGTCACCTCCACCAAGTCATCTGCGAGAGAGAGAGAGAATACGTCATCAATAACTATAATCAAACAGATCTTATCAGTAGTTAGCGTGCATGCCTGCCGATATAGTGAGTTGGCCTTTGTTGTCACACAAGTTACTGAGTCAGGCACACACACATACACACATACACACACACGCACGCACGCACACACACACACACGCGCGCACGCACGCACACGCACACACGCACGCGCACGCGCACGCACACAAACGCAAACGCGCAACGCACAAACGCACACACGCACGCACGCACGCGCACACGCACGCACGCACACACACGCACACGCACATACACACGCAGGTGATGTGTGCGGTTACGCAGGTCGGTCGCACGCAGGGCCGTACGTTTGACAAACTCGGTGACGGTGAGACACTGCACGCATCCCGTCACTCGCGTTACATTCTCGGAGGAAACGAACGGCTCGGCGCAGCTCTCCGACGATTTGGCGGTGACACACTCCGCGTTCCACCCGCACAGGTAGCAGTCAAACGCCGTCACACCTGCAATATACAATAGTTGACATGTCCTTTTGACGCGTACCACGTATTGTTGAGCGTAATGTATATACATACATATATAATAATATGCATATATGTGTGTGTGTGTGTGTGTGTGGTGTGCGTGCGTGCGTGCGTGCGTGCGTGCGCGTGCGTGCGTGCGTGCGCGCGCGTGCGTGTGCTTGCGTGCGTGTGTGATGTCTGTGAGATAGAGCGAGAGAAATGGGAGAGAGGAGATAGAGTGAGCTAATGCATGAGAGAAGTGGAAACGGGGAGGGAGCGAATATGCACAATTCTTTCATTGCCAATAACGCATATATATATATCATACATACCCGTAATGCGCTGACCTAGCGCCAATAAAAGCGCCACTAGTGCTATCCAACCTGGCATATCTGCGAATAAACATACGGAAATATTATACACAAAGCATACCCATGGAGACAGTTTGACGTTGATTACTACTTGCCTGTGCACTACGAGCTGATTTAAAACCATCAGTTGACATTATTGATCTGTCTACCATTCCACTGATTATAGAGACATGATGATACGTAAACACGCACACTTAAACGCACGCACGCACGCGCACACACACACGCACGCACACACACACACACACACACACACACACACACACACACACACACACACACACACACACACACAACAACACA